CCCCAAAACCCCAAAACCCCAAAACCCCAAAACCCCTTCATGAAACTATTCAGGAGCAAAATGATATTCATAAATCTTTCCATTTGTAAATAAATTACTAAAATTTATAGATGTTCATATTCAATTAGTAGATGTGAGAACCCTAAAAAGCTACCACTAGCCAGCCACTTATCATTTTTCTTCATGATAATGCTTCCTCAATTCTGATAATTTCTTCTTTGAATTACTTAAGTTCTTCTAGATTCACTTCAATACTTCTAGTCTTAACTTATCCATCGACTTCAGATATCTAAAAAATCAAAGTAGCATATGTCTTTTTTAAGTTTTTGCTCTCAGCAGAACTGAAATCGTGATTTAAAGTGCAATCAAAAGAGACTAAATGCCTTAGCTTTATTTACTCAAAGAAAGTCTTCAGATTGTTTGTATCTTAATACTCTTTTAACAACTAAAATTCAGTTTACAAAGCTGTAGTAATTGCTGCAATCATTTTTTCTCTTAGAGCTGTCCTATCTGCAAGTGTCTGCTGTACTGTCTAGATTATCTAAATATGGTTGTCTTGATGTAATTAAGCTGCTTTTAATATCTTGAATAAGAAGTTTTTCAGAGCTTTAATGATTCCTGAAAGTTTTTCTTTTGATATTTCAATCCCTTCATTTTCAAGTTCTCTTGATATCTTGAGCTGATCTAAGTTTCCATAACTTTTATTTATGATAAATCTGCTGACTTCCGATATCTAAATAGAGTCATTAAATAATTATAGAGGAAATGATTTTTACCAAGTACATAGTAATTGGAGGAGTTAAGCTTCTAAGCTAGGACAGTTCACTTAAAATGTTTTATGGGAATATTAGATCCATTGCTAGATTATTTATTATTTAATTTTATTAGCATTAAATTATTAGGGGCAGACAATCTGATTAGAAATGCTTAAGTTTTACTTTAATTACAGTATAAATATAAAAATTCAATCTTTAATTCACATTCAACAATGATAGGATCTGCAATAAGAATATTACAATCAATAACCTAAGGACTTTAGAAAGTCGAGGGTAAGTTTGTTATGAGTTTAGAAGGATAAAAATTCCTCATAGTTTCTCTAAAATGGCAATTAAAATTTTGAGAAGTATAACTTACTGTAATCATCGAATCTTGATTATTAGCTGCAGCTGATGGCAGATCAAATGTGAGAGGAAGAGCAAAATAATAAATCACATAGTTTATTGATTCAACTAAATCCTATAATTACAAGCCAAAACATTCATAGAGGTATCCCTCAAAAACTTAATTGTAGAATTGAGTCTATTCACTAATTGGCTGACATCTTTTCTTTCCACGACTCATGTCAAATGGGGGAAATCTTTCAAACTGAGAGGGAAACCACTTATAATCATAGTTGAAAGCTCCCATCATATGAGGACCACCTATCATTAGGTATAGCACTGATGCCACTAAACACCTTGGATCGAAATCTAATGTTTGAGGAGTCAGCATAATAGAGTCTAAAATCTAAAATACTATTCTATATCTTTGATAGGCTAATTCATTAGGTTGCTTAAAAGTAAAATCAGCATTCTAATAATAGCACTTTAATCTTTCATCTTAATAGATATCCCACATGTTCATGTACCAGTTAGTCCAGTTGCATATAGTAATGGGATGTAGTTTGAACTGTAGAACTTTCATCAATTGGCTTTCCATATTTAGAATTTAGTCTTTTGAGTATCCTCCATCTGTTGATAAAGCAAAATCATTTACTCTTGGAATATAAACCTCTTCAATTTTGCAAGCAATAAACATTGAAGTAACTCCTATCAATTGTAACTCATTTTTAGGAACTACATAAGTCACTTCCTAAAGATATCTATCTATGAAATTAATACTAATATATAGAGTTTCCCTTTTTAGCATGAACTCTTCGCACACCTCCATCATCCAATCTATCAAGATTTCTCTCATTTTTTGACTTATGTTTCTTTATCTTTACAGATATTTAGAACTTAAAAAATATTCCTCTTGCCTTAAAATCATTTACTCGAGTACTTGGACCTAATATCTTTATTGAGCTTATAATGGATCCTCCATCTGGCAGTACTGCGATTAATAGAGCTCATCAATAACTTCATTTGTTGCTACTAGCTCATCCTCATTTTGATAGTTATGGTCATCAAGATCATCATAGGAGAATAAACCCTCTAACTACCTCGTCGATGATAATAAATTATCTTTATCCTCCCCGCATTAAAGTGAAATCTCTAATGAATCAAGTTACTATGTCAGCAAAATTTGGTCTTTAATCACTGTTGTTTAGCCATAGTCAGAAAGTTCATCGAATATAAATGAATTGAGCTTTTCGAATGTCTATAGTTAGGAACATTCCAATTCTTCCACTATCTCTGGGCTTAAATTTTTTGGTTAACTCTAATTTGATCCTTATTTTTTCTCATCCCTTGAAATAGCAGTTGGTTTCAGAGGTGTCTCATTCTCATGGGTATTTTGATATCTCTTCATTAAAGGTAGCCTGTCAAGATCATTGTAAAAGTTTTACAAAGAGATCTCATCCTATTCATTTTCACCTAGATTTTCTCCCTCATCTTCATCCTCTTCATTAATTTCAGTTTACCATTAATTATAAGATCCACTATCTCTCGTGTTATAATTATTTTCACTCTAATGATAAGAATATGACTTTTGATAGGAGTTTCTTTCATTTTGACTATTATTTGAGTTGTAATTATTGTTGTTAATTATGTTACTATGATTAATAATGGTAGAGTTACTTTGCAGAGGTTGCTTTATATTCTTTAGTGAGGTATTAGTATTATTATTGGCTGTATAATTTGAAGCTTGGGTTTATTATTAATAGGAATTAGATTATGATTATTCCTTTTATTTATCTAGCTCTTTTATATTTGTGTGCATAGCTTTATTCAAGGTCGAATATGGTATGTTAGCTGATAGAGCTCTTGAGTGATGACCTTAGGGCTTGTTAAATTATTAATTACTATAAAATTAGTGGTTATCATGATCGGTATTTTCAATCAGAGATGAAACATTTTCTTTTCCCCAGGTTGTAGATAAATTTTCCTAATTAAATGAGCAGTCAGTCTATACAGTGTTTTAGGCATCTATTGCTATCAATGAGTCTTAGTAGATATAATCATCTTCATAATCATCCTAATAGATGGTAGTTTCTACTCTCTTTTATTCAATTTTTCTGATCTGAGTAGAAGTTGTCGACTTCAATCGTAAATTTTCGAGGTAGTTTATTTTTTTCATCTTGAATATAAAATCGCTTTTAATATTTGAAATTTAAATGTTCTAAACGATTGCTTATAAGCAACTGACGGGGTTTTGGGGTTTTGGGGGTTTGGGG